GGATTCTGAAGACGATGACACCGACCTGTTTGTGAACACGAACCGAATAACTTACGACTTTATGGAGAGCGAGGAGAGCAGCGAGTCAGAAGAAGAAGAAGAAAAATAAACCACCCGATTTACGGAGCAGAGCAAAACCAAATCCTGGTTTAGCTGGAAGGAACGTGGCTTGTGTGTGTGGCGGGGTGTCTCAGCCAAAGTGTGCATGGACAAAGTGAGATGGTGTCCCTTTAGGGCAGGGGTCTCCAAAACATGGCAACTTTTAAGACTGGTGGACTTCCAACTCCCAGGCTGGGGGATTCTGGGAGTTGGAAGTCCACCAGTCTTAAAAGTTGCCATGTTTGGAGACCCCTGCTTTTGGGGTTCAGGAGCCCCAACTGGAAGCCCCAAAGGACCACCAGAGACCTGGTGAGATTATCATCAGAAAGGGGCATAGTTGGAATTCTCTGGTTCGTTTTATTTTATTTTATTTTATTTGGCATTCTTCTTCTCAGGGCTTTTGAGGTTTTGGGGTTACTCCCAATTCCCACCGTTAAAAAAGTGCTGCCCCTAAAGTGCCCCCTTCCCATTTTTGGTTCTTGGAGCTCATTTTGGGTGTAGTTTTCCTGTTTGGTGTTTGAAGGCTTTGGGTTTTGAAGTGCCGTTAGGCCGCCGTGTAAACCTGTTGCAGAGGAAGGAGAGGAAGGTGTTGCATTGGCTTCCTTCTCCGGGATATCTTGCCTCTACTCTTCATTCCCTCCATTTTCTCTTATCTTTATTTAATAAAATGCAGCGAGCAGATCTGTGACTTTATTCCCCCATTTTGTGAGAATAGGCATGAAATGTGTCTCTCCCCCATTTACAAAAAAAGGGATATATTTACCTGGGTTAAGCAGCTTAATCTTGCCGTCATTTGAGTTGCATGAATACCTATTTTCTATCTTTGTTTTTTTAAAAAAAACACCTTTGAATTGGAAAATTAAAAGGGACAGGTAGTCCTCGACGTGTGACCAACCATCGAGCCCAAACTTTGTGTCGCTAAGCGAGAAATTTGCCAAGTGACTTTTTTGTCCCGACTTTTCTCACCTTGTTTGCGAAGTGAATAGTTTGCAGTTCTTAAATGAGTAACACGGTTCTTAATTGAGTCTGGCTTCCCCATTGCCTTTGCTTGCCAGTCACAAAATGACCCCGGGACACTGCAACCGTCATAAATGCGAGTCAGTTCCCAAGTACCCCAATTTTTAATCATGTGATCGTGTGGATGCAGCAACAGTTATCAGTGGGGAAAAATGGTCATGAAATCTCTTTTTTTCGATGCCGCTGTAACTTTCAGCGGTCACTAAGCGGACTGGTGTAAGTCAAGGACTAACCAGTCAAAATTCCTTGCCTTACAGGTAGTCCTCAACTTACAACCGTTCATTTAAAGACTGCTCGGAGTTTACAACGGCACTGAAAAAAGTGACACACACACACACACCCGTTACGTGATCAACATTCAGGTGCTTGGCAGGCAGGTATTGAATGATGGGGTCACGTGATCAGCGTTTGCAACCTTCCCAGCCAGGTTCAATGGAGAAAGCCAGATTTGCTTAACATGATTCACTTATCTGGCCAAAAGAGGTTGCAAATTCAGGTGCATTTCACCCCACCGTTTTGCTTAGCGACAGGAATTTCTGCCTTGCCATTGTGGTTGAGGCTCACCTGCAGCTTGATCGACAAGACACGAGGACCCAGCTATATAAGGTTGCAAACGGCAGCAAGTGATTTTAGTTGCCCCTTTTTCCTGAGCGGTAGAATAATTTCCGTGACGTTTCTTAACCGCTTAGGAGAGAATATTTATAGCTCAGGCTGAACTGTGGGCTCCTTGGTTGCTCTCTGAGCTTGGTGGTTTTTCCTGCAGAAGTTTCATCACCCATCCCTAGCACTGATGATGTTACCTAATTGGGTAATGAAAGGTCTGCAAGAAAAGCACCGAGCTCAGAGAGCATCCAGGGGTTTGATTAAGTTAGTGGTTGGATGGGAGACCACCAAGCGATCTCGGGTTTTTTTTTTATGGTTAGTTACAAAGTCGTGGCCGACCCATCGCGACCCCATGGACAACGTTCCTCCAGGCCTTCCTGTGCTCTACCATCCCCTGGAGTCCATTGAAGCTGCTTCCGTGACTCCATCCAGCCACCTCCTTCTCTGCCGTCCCTTTCTTCTCTTCCTTTTGCCCTCCATCGTTCCCAGCATTCGGCTCTTCTCCAGGGAGTCCTTCTTCCTTCTCATGAGGCGGCCAAAGTCTTGGAGTTTCCTCTTCAGGATCTGGCCTTCTCAAGAGCAGTCAGGGTTGACCTCTGAGACTGACCAGTTGGATGGCCTTGCTGTCCAAGGGACCCACAGGATTCTCCCACCTCCAGCTCCGGCGTTCAAAGGCCTCCAATTCTTTGGCGCTCGGCCTTCCTCGTGGTCCAGCACTACCCTATATATATAAATCCATTTCGTGCGACGTGTCTTTTGAAACACGCTTGGCTGTTTCCATAACGCTAACTCAAGTTACGTGAATCGGTTTAGGGCAATTAACCCAGTTTTTCTGGATTCGCACGTGGTAACACAAAGCCAGCCATGAAATTGGGTAACTCCTCCCTCCAACCAACCAGCCACGAAACCAGGCTGAAGAAAAAGCTGCAGTTGGCAGCGTTGGAAGCCGTATTTTACCTGGAGGCCTTCCCCATTCCAGTGCCTGGGGGGCTTGGGGGATCTCACAGAGAGGTAGAAGTTTATAACAACATTCTTCCGAGTCAAGGACTCACCTGGGAAAGGACTTGAGGAAGGTCTCTAGTTGGGACGATGGATGATGACTGGGCTGTGTGATGGACTGACGGGCGCAGGGGATGGAGGGGTTGGATTTTTTTTAATTACGCAGGGGATTTGGGGTTTTCCCAGATGACAACTCTTAATAAAATGGACCTCTGAGAAACTTGGTCTCTTGAGTTTGTTGCGTTGGGAGTTGGTGACTTGGAACACTGGGAGCCGTTCCTTCTTTAAACCGGGTAGGAAAAGTCCGTTCGATGCATTCTCTCCCGCACCCCGAAACCTTCCAGAATTATTCCTCCGCTGAATGCAGAGAGAAGAGGCGTCAACAAATCAGGTCTCCGCTTATTTTTATTATTACAGCGATTTGGTTTCACACAGCGATACAAAAAAAGGTTGGCTGAAAAACTCAGCCCCACAACTATATACACAGCAGATCGGCGAGCGCAGGCCCCGCGAGCAGGATTCCCACCAGGAGATCAAGGGGTGGAGGTGGTCCTTGGGCATCCGATGCGTTCCCGCCAGGGACGGGAAGCCGGTGCTTCACTTCGTGATGGTATTTCTGGAGAGAAAAGACCCTTCGTGAAAGAGGCGCCCAAAGTCGTCATCTCCACACCCGCCCAAACGGGGAAAGATCTTTCGGCCGAGTTCTTCTCGGAAGGTCCTAGCCAGGAGTGTCCGACCTGTGACATTTTTTTTTAAGGCTCGCGACTTCAACTTCCACTCTGGCTGGGGAATTCTGGGAGTTGAAGTCCCTAAGTCTTAAAAGTCCGTAGAGATTCTCAAGTCATCCTCCAGATCCTGGTTCTCCCAAAGGGGCTTTTTTTTTTTTTTTTCAGGAGGCAACTTTGGACTTTGTTGTTTTTTTTTTCTTTGAAGACGTTTCGCTTCTCATCCAAGACGCTTCTTCGGCTCTGACTGGATGGAGGTGGGGAATGGAAAGACTGATACTCCTTGCAGACAGCTCTGGTCCTTTGCCTCCTTTTAGAGAGCCCTTGTGGCCAACTTGGAGGTTTATCCGTGTCCTCAGGGTCACCTGAGTGGTGCAAAGGGTTCCTGTAATCTGCAATTTTTTCCCTCTGGAAATCCTTTCTTACTCCCACACCTTCCAGAGGGTGTCCATCCCAAAATGTATAGCTCAAAGTCCGTAGAGATTCTCAGTCATCCTCCAGGTCCTGGTTGTCCCAAAGGGGCTTTTTTTTCAGGAGGCCACAGGAGGAGAGTTTGAAAACTGTCAAGA